CGCGGGAAGCTCGCCCCGCGGGGGGAAAAGCCACGACCCCCGTCCTCTCCCCGTTTCCTTCAGCTCTCCCTCTGGCTCCGATCGTTGCCGTGCCCCCGGGGGGGTCTGGGGTCTCACCTTAAGGAAGTAGCCCCGGCTTCCTGCGACGATGGCCCCCTTCTCTCCCTCGTAACCGTCCACCATCACCACCAGGTCCACGTGCGAATACTTCTTCCTGCAGCTGCAGTCGCCCCAGACCCGCTCCACCTTGTTGTCCACGTCCTGCCCAACGAGGGGAGAGAAGAGGAGGGGGAAGCTGTCACCTCTGCTCCCAGGGCTGCGGTGACATCGGACTGGGCCCAGTTTGGGATCCCAGACTACAGAGCTTGGAACCCCAGCCCTGATCCCGACCGGTCACTTATTGTGCGGCCACTTGGCAGCCGGCCTGGCCCGATTGTGTTCCCCCAGCAAAATATTCCTGCCGGATGAATGAAGGCAGCGGAGGGAGATCCCAGCCCCCCGGCTGGAAGCGAGTTTCCCATGGATTCCCCCAACAATGGCCGTGTCCAGCGTTGTCTGAGCCGTTCTTTGTCTGCTCCCAGCAGGAAACGCTGTCTTGTCATGCAGATTTCATTCACCCGCCCGCTGATCTCAGGTTGGGGGGGAGACCTCCCCGCAGCGAGCCCCCCGCTTGCCGGCAGTTGTCTGGCTTTGATGAAGCAGCGCGGCCGGCCCTACCTCATCATTGCTGATGGGCACCGAAGGGTGGAGGAGGTTCCCGATCTCCCGCAGGCTCTCGAAACGTTCTGCTTCCAGCCTCACACGCTCGGCGTCGCACTTGAGGATGGCTTCGTCGATGAGGAGACGGACTTTCTTGATCTGCGATACCTGCAGAGTCTGAGCAGGGACCCGGGTGAGACGGGGAAGGGAAGAAATTCCTGGCGAGTGGGGGCTGGCAGCTGAACACGGTTAATCACGGACCCTCGCCCAACCCCCTCGCCCAACCGAAACGGCTTCTGGAGTGAAATCGTGGACTGAACACATCAAACAACAGCCCGAGGGGACAAAGGACTGACCCAAGTCAGGCTCTGAAAGGGCCGGAGCGAGCTACGGCATCACACAGCGCCCGGCAGGGACGAGGGGGAGCAGTCAGCTCCCACGGCAGCAAAAAATCGGCCAGCGTCACGCTCATTAAACATCGCAGTTAACGAACTGGGAAGTTCGGGCAGGGAGGAAGGGACTTGTAGAGGACACATAGTGACTGAGGCTGCTCCGATCCCCCAGGGAAGCGCAGGAGAGCTGCCACGGACCGAGGCCAAAATGGTCTTTAGATGAAGGACACTGAGCAGGAGCTGGTTACTGTTGGCATGGGACGGGGGGAAATACAGATCCTCCTGGCAGGGGGTTCAGGCAGTGCCCCCTCGCTTGGTGCTGGGGCTTCGGGCACCTCACGCCGCCACCTCGGGCAACGATAGGCAAAGCTCTGGACAAACTGGGTGGGCCGGCGGCACAGTGGGGGGAAAGGGGGTCAGACTCACCCCCAGGACGTCGGCCGTGAGCTCGTCGAGGTTCTGCACGCTCTCCGGTACGGACTCGTCCGTCCCCACTGGTTCCTTTTTCTGCAGCGGGAGGAAAAATAAATCCCAGCAGGGTTAAAGAGTAAAGTTCCAGGGTAAAAATATTCCTCAGCGATGCGAGGGAGAGGCCTGGAGAGCAGAGACCTGGGGGAGATGCCACCAGTTAGTACCGTCCCACCAGTGAACCGCTGCCGGGACCGTCTGCCTTCGCGCCTCACCTTCATCTTGTCTCCGATGGTTTTGCTGCACAGGTTCTTCAGCTTGTTCAAGTTATCGGCACGAAACCTGCCTAGAAAGCAGAGGGGAGGGAGCAGTCAGCCGGCCCCGCGAGTGGGAGGGGGGCTGGGATCCCCATCCGGCAACGCG